ATTATTGATATGCCGGTTACAGTTGTCGCGATGATGAAAAATGCAGTCGGCCGATGTGACATAATATTCTCCGGTATATCTGCCGCCGGTGTCACACCGCGCGTAATGATTATCGACAGACATATATACCGCGTATACGCGCGCGCATATCGCGTTATCGATTATATAGCGGCCAACGAAACGGGTGCGATCTCTGGCCGCTTTCTCTCACTCCCTTCCTTTCTTTTTTATTTTGTGCGCGAGATTAATCACGTCATTCGTATCGTTCCCCCTGGCCGTTAACCGCGAACCGCCGGTCGAGACACCGAGCGGGCTGACGCAGGTCTGTTTCGCAAGGAGAGACCGTCGTGAAACCTCTGATACCACTCGATTGCCGCATCGTCCTCGCCGCGTAATCTGCGGTTTAACTAATTTCGAATCCTCCTCTCGCCGCGGCCTCGACGAGGCCACGCCTCGACGATGAATATTCTAAGGTCAGCTTCGACATCGGCACTCGGGAGTGTCGAGGAGCGTTGCGGTAAATGTTGTTGTCTAATTTCGTGCTTCAACATTTTCAGCCGCGCCGCGCCGCGTCGAATAGGAACGAGCGAAAAACATGTCAATGAGATTTACATATGACGTCTTGAAATACGCTTTGCGGTGGAGAAATGTCCGTCACATGCGAAATTCATGCGGAACTATGACATAGCGGCTCTCGTATAATTAGGGGTCGCGCGCGCGCGCGCGAGACTATCTAAATCGCATGATATAACCGGCTTATTAGGGAAAACGCCGAGTGTAACGCGATCTAGATCGCGTAACAGCAACGTATTGACCGAGCCCGAGGCGGTATCGAGCGAAACATAAGTGACATAAAGCGTGACAAGAAAGGACATCGGTGGACAGAGCGGAGAGACGGAAAGGACGTATAAGAGTCTCTCCGATCGTGATTAAATAAACGTGCCGTGCCGGCCGAAGCGTAAAGGCGAATCTATTTAAAGGGCCGACGGGAGTCCGATCGAAGCGGCCGAGAAGCGAATCCTACAAAGAAAATGCCGCGGCACGAAGCGGCTCTCCCCGTCCCGCGCGTGTCTTTTTAATGATTTATTAATTACTCGAGCGTAAAGCTGGAATTCGAAGTCCGCGCGTGGCGCGAGGATAATTACGAATTCGCCGAGTGTACGACGGGGAAACGTGAGATATCGGACTTACCTTCGCGCGCTTCGCCCGGAAGTCTCCGCTGAGCAGAAGAAGAAAAAGAAGAAGCTGAACACAACTCCCGAACAACTCCCTTCTCAACCCCTTTTCTCCCTCGGTCGCGGCCAACGAAATACTTGGATTAAGGCGCGCGGTCGGCTATCGCAAATATTGGGAACGATATTATTGCCATTGAATCTCGGGAAACACGCCCGAGCTCCGGCGCGGCTCGTGTTTCCAAATACCTGAGAATATTTGAGAGAGAGAGAGAGAGAGAGAGAGCGAGTGGAGCGCATTTCGTAACGAGGAGCCACTCGTCTTTGTTGCACCTGTACCGTTAACGAACTCTCGGCTTTTCCCCGGCGCTGAAGATAGCGATGACCACGATTCCCCGGAGTTGCGTTGCAATTCCGTCTCGGAACGCGCAGCTCCTTGAACCGAGAGATGCGCACTCGGAGATTCGTCCGTTCGATTATCCGCGTCGTGATTTACAACGGCGTTGGCGGAAAGAAAACGTTCACGGGAAGTCAATACCGCGATTAATCAGCGAGTCATGTGCTACCTCGATGCAACCTGGATCCTCCTCCTCCTTCGGTCTCTCCCCTTTCTTCCTTTCCCTCTCGGTATTTTTTCCCGTCGTACTGCAGCATCATATCTTTATAATACCATACGGTATTATCCGCATCAGTATCTATCGGTGATAAACGCGCGGAATATTCGCGATTGAAAGTCGGACGGAAAGGAATTCGCGACGGTAGCTACCGCCGCCGCCGCCGGATATAAACGCGGAGTCCGCGAAGCTATAGATCAAGATCAATAGCGCGGCCGGGGACATATGTAATTTCGCTGCGGATATTCGACGAAAAGCGATACCGATCTCCGCCGCCGGGAGATCGCAGACTTTCGTTCCGCAGGCGGCGGCAATCGCTCGGGAAAGCCCGGCCGCTGATTAGACCCGTTCCGCCGCGCCGGCAAATGAAACGGAGATCGGCCGATCGTCGGGCCATTGTCACGCCACAAGCACATTCTTAATTCTGATTCTGAAACGTAATCTTCGCGAAGCACTGCGGCGAGAGCAGAGCGCAATTTCGCCGCGTGCTCCTTTCCCAGCGTTTCCGCGATGGCAACTTTTCGGATTCGCGGCACGAGGATCCTGCGGCGCAGGATCAACAATTCGGGACGCCGCGGCCGATCGGATATCGCGTGGACATGGAAGTGTCCTCGCCGCCTCGTTGCGAGAGAAGAAGAAAAAACAAGCTAAATGCGCAAGACGCGGTCGCACTCTTACAATTTTGATAAGCATCGTCTCGCAGGACTTTTGCGTGAAATATTCGTGAGTCTAGAATCTGTTGACGACGACTATTTTCGCGCGTTGTATTTTCGTGTATTTGCGCACACTTACTTAACAACCATGCAGAGAGAGAGAGAGAGAGAGAGAGAGAGAGAGAGAGAGAGAGAGAGAGAGAGAGAGAAAAAGAATTATTCGAAACTTGTGCTGTACGACTGTGTGTGGTTCGCGAATTCGCGCTCAAGAACCTTACATTTGCGTAAAACGCGACACTCGCAAATTACTCTCGTCTGAGTGCACCTAAAAGATGCATTTAACGCGTCACTGGTTTTCCACACGCGCGCGCGCGCGTTCGCACTTGCGCTCGTTCGCACGCCAAACGATCCCGTCGCCGCGTTGCAATATTGTATCGGCAATCGAACAAATTGCTTCCTTCCGTACAGCTGGTTTTCGAATTACGAAGCCCATAAATATGACCGTACCTACGGGGAATTTGTTGGCGGGAATATCGGCTAACTGCGACCGCGACCATAAGTTATCAGTATCGCGCGAGCAGAATTCAATCGCCGCTCGATATAAAACACCACGAGAGATGACCGGCGCACCTTTCAACATTCCGATTGGCTCCTCTCTCTCTCTCTCTCTCTCTCTCTCTCTCTCTCTCTCTCTCTCTCTCTTTCTCTATATATATATATATATATATATTCATTTCGAAAATGAAGTCACGGGTATAATAGCGTCTTATATTGTTTCTCCGTAACGAGCGTACGTGTCTCGGACTCGGGACTGATATCGAAAATCGTTTCCTGCCGGTCGCGGACTCGATTGGGATTTCGTACGTTCTGAAACTCGAACGATTCTTCACCACAGGCACGAGGAAGAAAGAACGTATTAAGAAACGCAACGTGAAATCATTTCAGAAGAAATATCACTTTATGTAATTTAAGATTCAATTAATAGATTAAAATTGCGGAACGCTTAGTAATATAATTTCAGAATATTCACGTAATCGTCGTCGCGAGTCGCTAAGCTCGATAAAGATTATAATTAAAGGGGAACGCTCCTGGTATATCTCCATATGGCAAAGGAATGAAGCGACTGGACTCTTGAATCGTTCGGCAGCGGTAAAAGGCGACGACATGTGCGACACACCGCGTATCGCGACACACGTTGACACATTTCACGTTCATGTCTGCGCACATCGCGACGATACAACGGCCTTACGTCATTGCACGCTAATTACGCGGCAGGAAAGCCTGTAATTTGCGGAGGAAAACAGACGCCGCTTCAAGCTGTGTGCCGCTTCATGTCGCGCGACGCTTTACAAACCGATTTACGAACGATAACTGCCTGTGATTATGCTATTTGAAACGCTCGCTACTGTCTCCGATGACGGACTGTAAAAACGCGCACTGCCGTTATTACTGGTCGAGATTAGATTAGATTACGACTTCGTCAAACTGCCGCCGATCATTTCTGTCCATTCAGTTTGCTGACACTGAAATAACCGTGTTTTCGAGAACGAATCTGTGAATTTCTCATTCAAGATTCAGTCGAGAGAAATTTTAACAGTTTCAACATTTCGGGTATAAATGGAAGAAATGGTTTCATTTCGACATGTCAGAATTATATATTTTTCATTATAATAGATTTATCCGATTATTTTTGCTGAAGGATTTAACTTTGAAGTATTCGGGTTCGAGGGTATAATTGTGGATGCTACGATGATTTTGCACGGAGACTCTTCGCGAGTCCGGATGTATAAATTCCATCATTTTCCTACCTAATTTATTTCTGGCGCGCTATTAGCGCGTTCGTGGAATCTAACTCTTAGACGATTGATCACGCGTGCGCCTCTCAAGCGCATAATCATAGACAGACTCCGAGACGTCTGTTTTTCCCGAGGACGATGTTAACCGCGGCGATTAAATGAAAGTGCCGAAGAGATACACGCCACGTCACCGAGCGTCGCTTCTCTCTCTCTCTCTCGATTCATCGACGATTCACCTCGCACACGCGCGTACCTTCGCCGCGCGAGATATGAGCGCGGGAATAGGATGCGATCCGCGAGGATTCAAACGCAGCTCCGATCTAACCCCGCGATATTTCCCGCAAGCCCGAGGGCTTGCCTATCGGGAGGGACGCGATCTACAATACAGCTGCTCCGAGAAATTGGCCGGTGCGATTTCCCCAAGGAGTTTACAAGGGAGGTTTCCTCGCGCGGGTGTGACCCTCCGCGTCTCATTCGTCGCGGAATTCATAATTCAGCGGCGCCAAGTTCGCGATACCTCAACAGGTGGAACTCCGCTCGGGAGTTACGCGCTTAATTCCATTATGTGTGTGTGAGAAAACGCGATGCGCGAGAAGATGTCCGCGTGCTCGGCGCCGCGTTGGGCAATCACGCCGACGGACGAGCCGAAGGTGTTCTTTCTGCTTTCGAGCAAAGGCCATCGAGAGTATGCCTCCACTCCTTCTTCGTGGCTCACCTTCTCCTACTCCACGGTACCTGCAGGTCGCAGGTGTACGAGCGAGCCGGCTCTATCGGCACTGCTCGCCGCGCCGTGCCGCGCCGCGTCGCGCCGCGCCGCTTTCAGTCGTCGTCTGGTCGTCGCCAGGTTCCCCGCGATTCTTCCTCGTCTCGCTCTTGAACTTTTCCTTGCGGACCGCTCACGACCGCGCGATAATACATTCCCTCTACCTCTCTCGTCCGTGACCACAGTCTTGTCGTTGACGCGATCAATGATCCATCGGCTCTGCGATATCGTGATTACGACGATATCACTCGCCGGCGACTCACTCGTGCTCGTTTGGTGCAGCTTCAAACGTAACGGGAGATCCGTAGACGCGGCAACTCGAGGCGAGAAAGTGCCAGCGTGGTGCGTTTCATATTGGTGAAGTGATTCCGACTGCATTCCGCATCTTGTAATCCGGCGTTTGCGGTGCGTGTGGTACGTGTGGTTTGAAAGCGAAGGAGAGATGATCTTTTGCGCTTAAATGCGAGGCGCAGGTGTGTCATCAAGAAACGGTGAGTTTTCACATCAGGTCATTCATTTGATATAGGATAGGATAGGTTGCGGGATTGAAAACAAATACCGTGCCAGTGTCTTTGGAGACACATATAAATTGCCGATATGTATCTGTAATCTGTGTGTAAATTTACACGAGATGGTGCACGCGAAATGTCACAGCATTCAATTCAAGGATGCGCCTGCGAAAGGTCACGAGGCGTCGCGAAGCGATCGTATCGAGCACCCACCGTCGCTCATTAATGGTGTCATACTTTCGTATCATTCATATCATTTCGCGCATATTCATTCGCGCCGACGGTAAATATACTGATTTGTAACATGTCGTGCATGCGCGCCGGTAGCAAACGGCTCGTCATATTTCACGCTGCGCCGGCCGGTCCGTATCATAATCGCGTACAATGTTGTCGTTGCCTCGACGACTGCATAAATTAACCGATTCGTCGCTCTCGAACTATAATCGAACGCGCCGAGCCGGCCGCGTAGCAGTCATGCATCTACCGCCTAACGAACATAATTTCCGTTATCTCCTCGCCGGTTATATAAATCGCAGCCTTGTCTGCCTGAGACCGATTACTTTCACCGATACGCAGCGTGCGCGACTGTGTTCTTACGCAACGGGGCGACAAGGCCGCGGATGGACCTTTGGCACTTCCGCTCGCGAATTTATATTGTCCAGCTTGCATCGTCAGATCAGATGCGCCATCCATCGCGCATCGCGCATCGACATCTTCACCGCCGGCTATTTTTACGCGGCTGCAAATTATCGTTATACAACGGCCTGAGTGTAACACGAAGCATGGGGAGCATGTCGGACGACGAATCACGCGACAAAGCGACACGCTTTAAATCAATTTTTATTGCCCTGCTCGGAGCAACAGTCTCGTTGTAGGCTTAACGCCGCCGCCGCCCCGCCGCGCCGCTGCTACCGGAAGCACAGCCGAGAAAGCGCTCTCTCGCGACCGGTGAATCTTAAAGGAATTACGGTCGGCGTAATTCCATCGGGGAACCCGGACGCGCCTTATTCGAGGTCGAATTATCGAGTCGCGGAGAGTTCTGCACCTGCAAGCTCGCGTCGCAATTATACGATAATATCGAATCGCGACTATCGACCTGACTTGAAATTTCAGTTACAACGGCGCGATTACATATTTCCGATAAACGCGAAAGGAGTTGACTGGCGGCGGCCGCCGCCGTCGGACATTATCATAGTGGGTAATTGCAATTCGAGGCACCAATCATTTCGGCCGAAAATTGATTGTACAAATGTGCGAATATTTTTAGACGTTATCGCGGGAATCTCGGTCCGAAGACAATTCACGACCGCGACTATCATCGCGCCGACCGAAAATGTGCTAAATGAGAGAAGTTATATTATGAAGGTTCTGTGGAACGCGGCTCGAAAAATATATGTTTTATTACGATTTTTCGAAGCTAATTAAGTCTCGACTGCTCTTAATCTGAAGATTCCTCTCTGGCAAATTTAATGTTCCTACACACCACGCGATACGATTTTATATCGTCGAGAACAAGCGCGGCTCGAGAAAGAACACCCGCGTGTCTGAATTAGATATGCTATCTGATTAAATAAGACACCGACGTATACTCATCGATATTCTCCTCTTTCTTCCTCTCTCTCTCTCTCTCTCTCTCTCTCTTTCTCTTTCTCGACTTTGTTCCTTTCGTTCCACCATTTCATAAAGAAGCTGACGAACAGCCTGGAGAATTAGCTTCGGCAAAGCCGAGGAATCCATGCGGTCTTCACGCATCTACTCTTTCTATCAGTACGCAGCTGCTTTCCGGTAACGGAGCAACAGACCACGAAGAAACTGCGCGTGATGCGAGACGCTGCGAAGGAAGGAAGGAAGGAAGAGAAAAGGTGCGAGGATATCTCTCAGTAATCGAGCAGCCTCGGCTGAGTCAGTCACGAAGTCGATGCTGGCTTATGATTGTGCGTTATTTTTGAAATTTGCACCGCCGGCAAGCAGCGTTCCAAATTGCGAGCCCCCGTGCGCTTCCTTTTTCTCCATTTACGCGGCCGTAGCGTCCATTATTTATTATTTCTTATCCTCCCTCTCTCTCTCTCTCTCTCTCTCTCTCTCTCTCTCTCTCTCTCTCTCTCTCTCTTTCTCCCTTCTCTCCCACTGTCCGCAGACTTCCTGTTTATTCGAAAAATATTACCCTGGCATGTCGATAACAGCCGTGCGGTTAATCAGTCGGATTCACTAGCGCGGTTAAAATTGAGTAGATGTATCGACGAGGGGCTGTTTAGAGGATATCGGTCAACAATTCAATTCGCTCGCTAAATAGAGAAATATTACTCTCGTCATATATTTACCACGCGGCATTAATCGGATAAATCTGACGTTAAAAACGAAGCGTTCGCGGTGGCAATCGGCAGCGGCGGAAAATCAGCGCCGCGGCGAAACCGGCGCTAGCCGAACCGATGAATGACGACTCTAATGAGCGTTCAAACCGAGCGAGTGACAGTATATATCGCGGCGGCTCTTTCCGACCAACAACATAATTACGTCGCCTTGTTGCACGGCCACGGGCACACGGAGGTAACCGAAGCAGCCTCAGAGTTGGTCACCCGTTGGCGAGCGGTCATTCACTCACCTTGTCCCGTTCGTCAAATACCTTCATACACCGGTCGCCGCCGCTACCATTGCCGCCGTCGCCGTCGCCGTCGCCGTCGCCGTCGTTCGGCAATCTGTGACGATCCGTAACGAATCTACTCGAATGGAATTTAAATTGAAGCACCGCCATCGGCATCGCGATAAACCCGCGCCGAAACAGCAAACTATGCGCGGCCTAGGAGCGAGAAAGACAGAGAAAGATTCTCCCGCGTGCGCCACCAACGCCGAAGTATGTGACGAGCTATGCGCCGCTCCTCGCGGCTCGTCACGAATCGACGGTCGATCGACGATCGTTTCCGTGAACCGAAACGACCAACCGCCGTCTCAGACCCGATCCTCTCGCTCTTTCTTTCCTTACCCGCGCGCGCGCACGGGGGTAAGCAGCGAATACGGTATCCGTCAATCTACCGCGCGCTTCTCGGCGCGTCTAATTGCCCAGCGCGCGTCTGTCGCGAATCCGCGCGCCGTCGCAGCGATAAATAAGCCGCTTATACGCGGTAATCTAATCCCGCCAGTCGAGGCTTCCTCCGACCTCCGAGAGGCGTCCTCTCCTCTCGCACGGACACGCATACCACCGCGGAATGTTCACGTATTCCCGCCATGGCCGGGAAAGAGAAAGGAGGACCAGTCGGGAGACGGAGATTGTCTCGGATAAGAGCGCCGGTGAAACGACGACGACGACGACGACGACGACGACGACGACGATGAAGACGTCCTCGGTGAGAAACGAGAGAGGGAGAGAGAGAGAGAGAGAGGCGCCAGTAAGTCGCGGAACCGGATACGGCTGCTCGCTTGATGATACACCGGATTTGACTGATCGCGACGACGACGACGACAAGGGCGTCGTCGATGTCGCGCTTTGATTTCGCGCTGCTCCACTCACTCGAGAATCTCGCGGGACTCGCGTTAAAGCCGCATTCGACGCTTGAAACTCCGCGATTCGAGAACGTGACTACACGTTGCGGAGCGCGGCAACGTAGGGAATTAACGCGCGAGGGATGAGAGCGCGCCGAAGCGCTTCGCCAATAGATGTCGAATAGATTCGGCACGCCCGTAATGTCGACGTTGACCGACCGTCGTCGTGATTGATCGCGCGCGGATCCTCCGTCTCGTTCAGCTGTCTCTGCTTAAAAAAAATTGCGTTTGCGCGTGAAACTCTCATGAGCTTCTTTCTCCCTTAGCCCGTAACCTACAGGCGCGGAATTTAAATCGCTCGGTTAAAGTCGAAAGCCGCCGGACACGTGACGTGCGTACTGTCGAGCCGCGTATCGTAAAGTCGTGGTCAGTGCTGTTGCGCGGTCATCCTTCGCTGACCGCTTCCTTCCTGCTAGAGAACGGGCGTAATCCTTTAACCTTGCATTTTTCTCGGTCACCGACTTCCTGCTCGAGATACCGGCGCCAGGACGGACGCGCCAGAAAGAAACGTGTTCATTCGTCCGTTCATTCGTCCATTTGTTTGCTCGTTTGTTCGTTCGTTTGTTCGTTCGCTCGCGAGCGGCCAGGGAAGCTGCGCGCGAGGAAGCCAGTGTTTCATTACGGATTTATTACGCCGCCGAATTAGGTCGAGGCTTTACGAGGCGAACTTTACATCGCGTGGCTGCGCGACGCCAGCTTTACGAGCTTTGTTCGTCGAAAAGGGAAAACCGGGAGTGTCGTTCGCACGAATAAGGCAGCAGCCGCGACCGCCTTCGTTCGTTTTCTACTTTCCTGCCGAACGTCGGGATTTTCCCCAAACTCCCCTAAGAAACTCGCTAATGCCCGATTTCTTTTCGCCGCCGGGATACAATTATCTGCGAACGGTCCGCTCGACCAAATTGTAACGCCACCTGAAATGTGTAACGACGGTTAGCTAAAGTTAACTAATCTACGGATAAATTTCTAAATGGTAGCGCACCGACTATAACGTAACTATAATGACAGTGAGCTAAAGTTGGCTAACTCGCGGATAAGTTTAACGGGACCTGAAGGGAATTGAGTCACGAGAGAGAGAGAGAGAGAGAGAGAGAGAGAGAGAGAGAGAGAGAGAGAGAGAAAGAGGAGAGAGATCATGAAACAATATTAATAAGTCTCACGAGACTCGAGTAGATCGTGTATATATGGCTGAGCGACATCGATTCGTCGTTATGTCGTCGAACTTTCGAATTAAGCGCATCCGACCGGAGGATTTCATTGGTCGTTTTTGTGCAACAACTGCACAACAATACGGTACACCGTATTCGCGACGCGGTCTTTTCCTCGCGAAATGTCTGCGCACAGTTCGCCGGTATCTCATTGCGTTTTTGCACGCATTTTCCAGCAAATTTCATTTCCAGCTCGATTTACGAGACAGCGAGAGAGAGAGAGAGAGAGAGAGAGAGAGA